GATGCCGCCTCTCTCAGTCCCCGGCGCCAGCCCCGGAGGCCAGCGCATTGAGGCAGGTGGGGCTCTAGGAGCCCAGGTCCACGAGGTTGGCTGACATGGGGTTGAGAATGGAGTCCTGCAGGCCATGGTGGTGCTGCAGCGGGTCCGTGCCGCCTCCGCCTGGCACAGGCACCGGCACAGGCACGGCGCTGGGGCCCGGAGGGTGGCCCAGGCTGTGCAGGGATGGCAGCCCGGGTGGCGGCGGCGGGCTGAGCAGCAGCGCGGGGCTGGACGACGAGTGGTCTGGCGTCCCCGACGGCGTCTTCTCGTCCTCGGAGCTGCCTAGCACCGACTTGCCGCTGCCATTCAGCGACGCCGCCAGCGGGTTGTGGCTGTTGGAGTTGGAGTTCTCGCTGTTCTCCCTGCAAGTGCAGGAGCAAGGTCGCAGGTCAGCGGGGACACAGAGGCGGCTCAGCGCAGTGACACCTGGAGCCCAAGCCTGCGTCCTCCGCAGAGCCAGAGCGCCCGGCGCTGCCTGCGGGTATTCGGTTTCTACCATCTTATTTTTGGCCCGGCCTGGGGCTCTCATTCCTTCTGCCAGTTCTCAGTCTCTCAACACGGATTTCTCTCGACTGTCCTCCAGGTATCATCTCTATCGCCCCACCTCTCATGCTCTCAATCTCATGAAAATCATTCCTGCTCTCTGTATGTTGCTCCTCCCTGCCCCCCTCACTGACCTGCTGACATTTTTCCCCCAGAGCAGCGGGGTTGGGGAGCATGGCTCCCTGGAGTTGGTCTGGCTTTTCACATCTTGGCTCCTCTATGCAGGGCTGGCTGGGTAGATGTAGGGCCAGGAGGGTGAGAGGCCCTAGATCAGTGATGGCGAACCTATGACACGCGTGTAAGAGGTGACACGCAAACTCATTTTTGGGGTTGATTTTTCTTCGTTAAATGGCATTTAAATATATAAAATAAATATCAAAAATATAAGTCTTTGTTTTACTATGGTTGCAAATAACAAAAAATTTCTATATGTGACACGGCACCAGAGTTAAGTTAGGGTTTTTCAAAATGCTGACACGCCGAGCTCAAAAGGTTCACCATCACTGACCTGGATACTAGACGCTTAAAGTTGGGGACCTCCGAGGCCCTCCTCTCCTTTCCTCTGCTGGAGGGAAATCCCTCACTGAGGGCAGGTTCCTGGAGCTGAGTCCTTTCCCTCCAGCTCCAAACTGGCAGGCCTGGTGAGGGGTCTCCTGGCTGGGGCTAGAGACAAAGCCCTACAGATATAGGACCCCCCTTTCCCTGGTGGCACAGTGAAAACTTTCCTCTGGGGGACTGGAAACTGGGGGCTTGGAGGGCAGCTCGTAGGAGAACGGGGACAGGAGAACGAAGGCGCCTAGACCTTCCGGTCATACAGGAAAAGGAGGGACTCTGTGGCCCTCACCTGGGGCCTGGCCTGAGAACCAAGTTCCTCCGGAGTCTGGACGCATGCCAGTCTGGGTGGAAGGGGACCCTAGCAGTGAGAACCCACCTCCTTGCCCTTCCTTTGACTGGCAACCCTGCCAGATTTGAAATCTTGGGTAGATTTTCTCCACGGGCTTCCCAAGGCCCTTTCTTCCTGTTTTCCTGGAAGGGAACTTCCCACAGAGCTGATACCTTACAACTGTGGATACCTTAACCTCATGGTTTCAGAGATTAGGGTCCCCCTGAAGCAGCGCCCCCCCCCCCCCCTCCAGAGATCTGGGTCCACCGTTCAGTACCCCCACCTAACCCTAATCATGCAAACTCTGGCTCACATACACCGGGTGCCACCAACCCCAGGTATCTTGTTTTGCTGTTGCCCTAAGGCTGGATTCTGCCCCCACAATCAGTTTCTCTCCCACCCCCACATCCAGATTTGGATTTCTGAGGGGCAACAGGGCTGGCAGCCACAAGGGCCTAGGTCAGTGTTAGGCTAGTTCAGGAAGTCTTGGTTTCCCTGAGGACAAGCCACTCTCAGCCTTTCTGCTGCTCTCAGCTCACCCTAGACCTAGACCTACCCACCAGGGTGGGTAAAACCCAAGGAGAGAGGGGTCCAGGGCATGGCAGGCCAGGGAAGGGCTGCTGGGTCCAACAAGGTGGAAAAAGGGGCATATGTTTCTCTTCTCTCCCAGAGCTGACACTTACCAGCTCTTGGCCTCTCTGTCCTTTCTATGCGGGTTAAAAGATTCTCGCTGTCAACTCATATCCAGACAAGGAAAATTCTTGCCCAGGCCCCTCCGCATTCAGGTCATACCAGGGAAGTTCCAATCCCAGGCTAGAGGGCCTAGAACTGAGTAAGGCCCACAGAAAGTGCGGACGTGCTAGAAGTGCGAGTGAATTCGCTTAGGCCTCCCGAAATCAGCAACCCCAACAGGCCAAACCCACTCAGTCCTTTGGAGGACTCTCAGGCTCTGCCTGCTGAGCCCCGCTTGCAGGCGACCCAGGATCACGGTCTTGGTCCTGCTTTTGCCTGGAAGCTCACTGCGTCTCCATTTTTGTCCACAAGCGACCCGGGCGTCAGTCAATAACTTCCCCAATGGCTTTGCCCGCTTTAGACAAATCCCTGCCCTCTGGGTCTCCCAAAAGATCTCAGCACCACTCGGGTCAGGCCAGGATTCACTTGGGCCGTAGTGGCTTTGACTAGGGGCCCGGTGTAGGCCTCTCCTGGGAGTTGAGCCTACGCCATGCGACCCCCTCCCTGGAGCCCAAGGGGAGCTCTACTTACTCGTACCTTTCCTTGGCCTCGGCTGCCCGGTCACGCTGTCGCCGGTTCTTGAACCAGTTGCTGACCTGTGTGGTAGTGAGACCCGTGGCCTCCGCCAGCTCCCGCTTCTCCCGCGGGGAGGGGTAGGGGTTGTGCGCGTACCACTCGCGCAACACGCTGCGACTCTTTTCCTTGAAGCAGTAGCTGGTCTCCTCGCCGTCCCAGATGGAGCGTGGCAGCGGAAACTTGCGGCGCACGCGGTACTTGCCCACAGCACCCAGGGGCCGGCCGCGCAGCTTCTCGGCCTCGATGTAGTGCGCCTTGAGCCACAGCTGCTGCAGCTTGGCGTGGTTGTGCGGCGAGAACTGGTGGCTCTCCAGGATCTTGTAGAGCTCGCGGAAGTTGCCGCGGTGGAAGGCCACCACCGCCTTGGCCTTGAGCACGCTTTCATTCTTGTGAAGGTGCTCGCAGGCGGGCAGCGACCATAGAAAGCGGCCCAGCCGCTCGATGTTGCCGCCCTGCTGCAGCACCTCGCACACGCACGCCACTTGCTCCTGCGTGAAGCCGAAGGTGGGCAGCATGGACATGG